AGCCAGAAGAACTCTTAAGGGGAGTTTTGTCCAACCTTGGCCATTTTAATTGGAGTGGACTCAACCCCCAAGATTCCCCCAGCCAGAAGGGGGGGCGGGGGAATTCTGGGAGTTGAAGTCCACTCAACTTAAAGTGGCCAAGTTTGGACAACACTGCCTTAAGGAGTTCTATGTGCTGAACCACCTTGTCCCTTTTGAATTTAAAGCACTGCACATTCCTAAGTCCATATTACACAATCCTACATTTGGAAGTTGCTATGTCAGCCATCAAATTCAATCCATATTTCAAAGCAGCAATCCAAATTAAACCATCCCCAATATATGACTGACTGGCCTTCACTTGTATACCTCAATTAAAAGAGAACCCACCACCTCTCTGAGTAATTGGTTCCACTGTCAAAAGTCTTGTTCTTGCTGTTCCCTTATGTTAAATCTGCCTTCTTGTAATTGAAATCATTATTCTGTATCATGCCTTCTGGGAAGTCAGAGAACAGGTCTTGGCCTTCAGCTGTGTAAAATTCTTTCAAGTGCTTGAGGAATGCTATCATATTCCCCCTCAAGTCTTCTTTTATGGAGGCTAAACATTCTCAGTTCTTTCAAATTCTCATTGTAGAACTTGGTTTCTTCTTCCCTAGTCATCTTTGATGTCCTTCTCTGAACCAGTTAAGACGAGGGGCCCTCAACAATATGAAATAAAGTGGAATTATTACTTTTCATGGTTTAAAAATGATTGATGTAGCCTAAATTGAATTGGCTTTTTTTACAGCCACATTAGCCTGCTGGCTGATATTCAGGTTGTAATCACCATTATCTTTTTCATAAGTACTATTGTCAAGCCAAATATCCACTAGTCTGTAACTATGCATTGGATTTCTGCTTCCAAAGTGCATGACTTTGTATTTGTGTCTGTTAAATTTTATTTGTTTATTTTCCATCAGTCTTCTAATTTTTTTAACTTTATTTCTAAGGTGCTAGTTTTTGCACCCAATTTTGTTTCATTTAAAGATCTGATAAACATCCATCTCCTTATCTAAGTACAGGCTTCAGGAGTAAAAATTCTGTCACCACAACTGATACTTCATCAGTTTAATTAAGAACCATTGATTAGCACTCTTTGAGTACAATAACTTTTATAACTCAATAACTTCTGAGCCAGTTATGTATTTGTTTAATTATCATGCTATCTAGTCCAAATTTTAAAAATATGTCAATCAATATTTCATGAACTAGAGTGTCAGATGCTTAGCTGAAATCAATATAACACATTATGTCTGTAGCATTCCCCCAGGAGATGGGAAGAACAATGAATGAATGAATGAATGAATGAATGAATGAATGAATGAATGAATGAATGAATGAAAATGCATAATCAAAAAATGAGAGTCTGGAAAGACTTGTTCTTGACAAACCCATCTGATTTCTGGTAATCATGAGATTACTTTCAAGTTGCTTAGAGACTGATAAATTTATAACCTAGTATAGAATCTTCCTAGTTAATCAATGTCAGCCTAACTGGTCTAGATCCATAGATCTTTCTTTTCTCCCTTTTGAAGGTAGGGACAACATTTGCCTTTCTCCAATCATCTTTCTTGTCATCCATTCTCTAGGATATCTCAAAAATAAAAATAAAAGTTGAATCAGATCATCAAGGGATAATTTTAATATCCCAGGATGCTGCCCATCTACCTATGGAGATTTAAATACATTAATATTATATCTAAATTCTCTGACCATGTTTCTATCAAGCTTCAGTCCTATTCTTCATTTTCCTCTTCACAGTTGTCTGGTGGAATACATACCCTCTTGTGGGAGAAGACTAATCCAAAATAGAAGTTAAATTAAGGCTTACTTTGGAATATCTTTTTCTTCATTGGGATGTACAGCAGAAAAAAAAAAGTAAAATGTGAATGCAACAAATGTGTTCACAAATTCATGCACATAGAATAATGAGTAGTCAGGGAGCCAGGATTCCCTGTATTTCCATCTTAAGCATGAATTTATGGATTGTCTCTGCAAAATGATGCATATTTTTTATGGAATGCAAACATTTAGTACAACATATAAACATGGTATAATAATGATAGAAAAGAAGTGAAAGAAGTTTTTTTTTTCAACTTTCTACAAACATTGCATTTCTTTCCCTTTTAGAGCCCCATATTACCACATAATGGAACTCTAATGGCTGTATATGAAAAATCTGGCTTTTCCAGTTCAGAGACTTCCTTGGCAGCTATTATTTATGTCTCAGAAAAAGTAAGTATCCAACCCACTGATATATTTCACATGAGAACATACAATTTAATCAAATAGGGCCATTATAACATAGGACAGTTATCCGCAGTTAAGACCCACTTATGATGTATCTGAATATATCAGCTTAGTGGTGGATAATGTTTTCAGATACAAATACACAGAGTGCAGAACAGAGAGAAAGGTGAAAGAAATATGGGTACCTGGAATCAAAAATAACAATATGAAAAATTATTCTGAGAAGCATTGACCTGGTTTGCACATTATACAAAGCTATGTTTTGCTTAACCATGGTTTTATTAAATAAATAACAATTGGCTAGTTCCTAACATTGGTCTGCAGAGGTGCTACAGGTGGTCCCTGGTGGGTACCAAATCTCACAAGATTTTGGCATTCTTCTTTGAAATATCATGTGATGTTGGAAATACCATATGATGTTGGAATTCTTTCACAAAATCACAAAGGTTTTAGCTGCAAATCCTAAAAATGTGAAATTTGATGGATTTGGGTTGGAGAAGGCTATTTTCTTTACATATATTCTAAATCTAGTCATAGAAAAGTTTGCTATTTTGCTAGTCTTTGAACTAACCCTGGCCTCCATTTAGGATTCTGTATTTTGTTTTCTACACAGGAGAAAATTGTGATTTCCAAGCATGAGGCATTAAGTGATGAGAATGAACTTAAGTGGTTACCTTATAAAGCAGGTAAGATTAGGGAGAATCTAGAGCATGCATTCAATAACTTAATAGTTCTGCCAACATTGTGCCTGTTCTCTCCATATATTCTCTATGTTAATTGTATTAAGATGTATTATATTCCTACTAGGTGGGATACAAATTTAAATAAATACACAGCCAACTCTTTTTCCTAAAAGCAAAGTTTGCAAAATGTTTTATGTTCAATTTAAATCATGATTTAAATAGATAAACTACATTCAATATAATTCAGTTCTCTAATCTATTTTATTTTAGGGGACATCACCATCTTCAGACAGTCATCAGCTCACGTTCAGATATACACTACCTTTGGGCTGGAGATAATAATTCAAACTCGTCCAGTATTTGAAACTTATATTAAAGTTGAACATCATTTCAGAGGCAAAACCCGAGGTAAACAGTTTCTTTGATTGGTGGCTTTTCTGTCTGAAAGCTGGAAGCCCTTGTCAAAGAATAATCATGCTTGGGAAAGGATTTCCAGAGCTTTATTTTCTTCTGTTGCAAATAGATGAACCTTACAATTCAGACTCTCCTTTGGGACTTGGACATAGATATCATTATTGTTAACACCACTACGTTCTTTCAAATCAGTCCAAATAATTTGTTCAGAGAACGGGGGAATATGTGTGGAAGAAGCCTTCCATACAGGGATTTCTTTACTGAATTAGGAAGCCAGACAAAACTGAGGTGAATGCACCTATGGATTTTCTCTGCCAAACTTGAGGGGAATCTAGATTGTTGAAAGCATTGCCAATATAACGGTGAGTTATCCTGATTCTCTTCACCATCTCCTTGTTCTGAGACTGAGATTTTATTGATTTCATTATTTATCTTTATTTAAGGAATGTGTTAGGCTGCCCAACTCATACTTTATTATTCTGGGCAGTATACATTACCAACAATCAAAAACAATCATACACAAACACACACACTTTGTAATAGGGAAAACAAAAGCATAAGGCTGTATAAGTCATAACCTGTGTAAAGACAAGACCAGTGTCCTGAGCACTGAAGGCAAAACTGGGATTGCTTGTTCCAAAGATGTTATACATGACTAATGAAGAAAAGTTCTCAGACAGAGCTAAGTACCAAATATGACCACTCTCTACATTGCACTGTGTGAATTCAAATAAGAAAAGTGCCACAACAAGTGTGTTGTTCTGGGTATGTAGCTAGCTCAGTTTCTGCCCTAAGGACAAAGTGCTCAGTTGAAACAGGAATTTAGTTACATCCATGTGTGTTATATGATGATTAGTTCTGCTTGATAGAAGCACCTTTTTCTACATCTGCATGCTACTAAATTCTCTTCTTCTCAGCAAAAGTTCAGCTTAGATTTGATAAAGTGAACCGAATTCTTGGGTATGTTTTAAATCTAAACTAAAAAAAAAAGACTGTGGGATGAAAGTTGATGTGGCCTGGGGACATCTTCCAACTGTTACAAGCGTAGGCAATGATCAAAGATATCCTTGACATCGTGTGCAGGTTTTTCCTGTACTAGTAAGTCTTGGAAATACATGGCAACATGCATCTGCTCTTGAGAAGAAACTATCTGAGTAACTAAAGTACCATGTGAAACACATTTTGGCTTCTGCAGTTCAGTACAGAATTTGGTGCAAGCAAGAAGTTACACATACCAAGGCCCAAACAAAACAAAACTTTTTTTTTTTAGGAGAGGACTAAAGTGCTTATGCATGTCATGGGCATCAGTATGACATGTTTTACTGTCGATAGAAAAAAAAAACTCTTCCTTTTTTTAAACATCATTATCTTCTCATTTCACCAGGGTTATGTGGTAACTACAATGGAGAAACAGCAGATGATTTCATGACCAGTATGGATATTATTGAAGGAACCGCACCCCTTTTTGTGGATTCTTGGAGATCAGGGAACTGTCCTCCTGCCGTTGAACAAGATACAGATCCTTGTTCTATGAGTCAGCTGAACAGTAAGTAAAGCCTTTGACCCTTTGTGGGGTTGGGGGGTTGGGGGAATGAGAATTATGATAAATACACACAAGGAAGGACATAGCAGCATCCCCCAAAAAAGTTTTCACTTGTGGGGAAGATAAGAAATGCTTCTGGGTGGACTTCTAGGATTGATACCACCTGATAGTTATTTATTTGTTTATTTTGCTATGGTTGTTTCATGGCTCTGCTTAAGGGATCAGAAAAATATGCTTGAGAAGCAATGTAGTGCCCTTTCCTCTTGTGTCCTTTCCTGATCTGAATCATCCCTCCCTCATGGGAAACGGCTATAATTCATGGTTATGGTTATCTTATGGCTCTGCTTAACAGATCCAAAAATCTAGATCCAGCTTTCCTATTCTTGCCTTAACATAAGATTGCACCTCCTGCAGGAGAATAATGTTTCAGTAATTTTTTACTTTTTATCATCAATACTGTTGTGTCTGTTCTTTTCTGAAATAAACAGGACAGTAAATAGTACTTTCCAATATATATTCAGCAAGAGGCAGTGTGGTATAGTGGTTAAGGCACCCGCTAGAAACCACTAGAACCACTGTGCGTTCTACTTCCTCCTTAGGCACAAAACCAGCTGGGTGACCTTGGGACAGTCACTCTCTCTTAACCCTAGGAAGAACCACTTCCAAAAATCTTGCCAAGCAATCTGAAGGGACTAATCTGGGCAGTTGCCAGGAGTCAATACCTACTTGAAGGCACACACACACACACACACACACAAAGTTCAATGGTACAATATTTACATGTTTACACAGTATTAAAACTCACAGAGGACCTTGGATTTTTTCCTGTATAAAAGACAGTGACATGAGAGTCCTCATCCACAAACTACCTTCCTCCCTCCCTCCCTCCCTGGCTTGATGTCAGGCCTAGCCCAAGGAACTCCAAGAGACAATGCAAATTCAGTTCAGCTTTGTT